AACATCCGCGAAATACGTCGGTCGCTCCACCAAATGTTCGCCCCCCTCCTCGAGATCCCCGTCATTTCCAATCCACAAACGCATTTGGCCACCCTGGCAGCCTTGGAACCGTCACTACCGGGAGCCTTGAAGCCTTCGCAGCTCCAGCTGTCGACGCCACATCATGCTTATATAGACATGATTCCTTCTCCCAGTCTCAGAGATCGACTTATTGCAATTGGCCCTGCAAATGCCAATACATTCTTAACAGAGGCTTGCACAATAGCATGCGACATTGAAGATACAGGTCAAATGATTGTATGGGGCGAAGATTGGCTCAATGAATTTTCTTGGGAGTTTTCTGCCGGCGTTCTAGAACGCTGGGGAGGCTGGCTTCTCACTTCTGAATGGGGTCAGAGAGCCAACTTTTGGCGACGTCAAAGAGGAGTCCCGATTCTTCCGGGCTACGACTGATGAGCTGAGACGACAGTGTTTTGATCGCTTAATATCGACAGGCCCAGGGCTTGAAAAGTCGTCTTGCTCACATGGCGCAGTCCAGGTCAACGGCAGACTGGGGATACGGTACATTCAAGGTTGGGATATGTTGATGGGACTTTCATCGTCTACAAGGTAGTTCGATGTCTTGATGGGGAGGAGCCAGTCCTTTCCGGGTTGCAAGTTCAACTCGCTATCTATTTCCAGGACCCGCCACCCTTCAAATTCGTGTTGGAAATGGGCGCAGGTCGCCCTTTCGATTCCCTTGAACTTGTCCAAGTCCATATTGTACAACTCTTGTCTACCCCTATATGTATAACAATGGAAAAAAGATCCCTTTCTTGCTTGCTAGGGTGCAGCATCAGATCTGACCCTCGCCTGGTGGACCACCTCACGAAAGGCTTCGTGCTGTTTGCGGGGACCGCATCGCAATCACTGATGGGAGGACTGGAGTGCGCCTTTGAGACAACGGCTGTAGGTCTGTGGAAATTCCCAGTCCGATAACGCCGTTCCAGGTGGCGGGATGTGCCTGCGGTATCAGACTGTCAGTGATAGTTGACGGGAGCTGGGGATAGAGCTGGATGTTTCAAGGTGAGCTTGATACCTCCCAGGATGAATATTTGTGCTTCTGATCTGAGTGGATTTCGAGGCAGTTCCTCGTGGTCAATTGGTCTTGAAAGGGCGCAGTTGCAAACATTTTGAGACAAATACGTGTGGGTTATCTTGATCCGACGGATTTTACGTACAATACCATCAGATATCTTCGGCATTACAAATCGGCATCACAACACGCTCAGATCCGCGCGACATTGATATAACAGGACAACCTCCTGCTTCCAATTCCTGTGGTATCAATGGAACCAGTGCAGGGCCTGATTCTTGAAGAGATCCAGGGTAATGTGAGGCATGGAGGGAAGTTATGGGGAGAAGATCCGGGCCCCCAGTAGCAGGGAAAGAATTTGCTCGAAGACTATGTGGGACAGATGGCGGACCTCTCTTGGTTCCAATGGATAGTCAACTCATCGATATCCGAAGATTTGTATGTGGCATTTCAATCCTGCATATGCTTAGCTGGATGAATATTGGCCGTCTTCGGCCAGACCAACACGGCCTCCCGCAGAGCCCCGACCAGCTGTGGCCAGACAACATCAAAGTTTGACCCTTTCGTCGATGAATCCATTGTTCTTCTCTTCCTCAGTGGAAAGAACCCGTAACTGGTGCGAATGCTAAGAATCACACCGGTCGATTGGAAGATATGCCAATCAACAACCGATACCAAGCAAGCCCAGGAAAAATATGGCTCAAACTCACCGTTGAAACACCAGGTCGACCACTCTTGGGATGAGGGCGATGGGTGGAATAGACGCCCAGTCAAACACCAGAAAAGCAGACTGAGACCATGACGGGCAGCTGATTTGATCAATGGCATATCGACTATTGAGCCTTAGGCACCAAAAGACTGTCCAATCAGACTCGCGTATCTCGACTGCCGCTATGGGAACCACGCTTGCCTCTGTCCTCTTTGGCTCTTCAACCAAGCCGTTTTGGGCCTTTGGGCCAGGCTACCTTTACCAGTATTCGGACACCCCCTACAGACGTATCCTCTGACACGACACCACGACTGCCTCAAGTGCCTCAACGGCGGATGTCAATGATTTCTGACCACACTTTGCAAACTATGCCGACCATAAGGTGACAAAGATGCAGCCTCAAACACTCACCATCCTTTGCCTTGCCCGTTCTTTGCAAGCCTCAATTCCGTTTGCTACCTGACTTTTGAATGCACCGGAGGGAACACAAATGTCTGCAACTGGGAGCATGCATGCCGCAAGAGGAGGCTCAATGCCACACATCATATCGCATTCTCAGCTTTCGTCGCTGTGGACGCCGTGGAGACAAGGGACCCAAAGTGCTGGACACCAAGCAGCTCCTCAGGCAGACAAACATGGTGTCTGCAAGTCTCGAGGTTCTACAAAGTTGCTATCTGCTCTAAACGAGTCTTCGTAATGGAGTTTCGCCGGGACGTTTAATTTCAGTCAATGTCGTTGACCTTTCTACCTGCGATCGGGCTGACATAAGTCTCCCCGGAATACCTGGCCGCTCGACCCCCAGCTGTGCTGAAGCATTGAATCCAAGAAGTTGTTGTACGGTGAATCCGCTTTTGATGATGCAGAGTTCCTGTCGTATACCTATATCTGCCACATCAATAGGCCTCCAATCGCTCCACACACGCCATAGCACCGAAATACGAGCTACACGAGATTAGACACCGATCTGAAATTGATCTGGATTTCTCTTCCTTTCCGCATCCTCTCCGATGGCATTCTTCCCCTGGAGCGATTGACGAATCCAAGAATTGCTCGCCAATAATTTCCTTATACAGGCTAGACTCTTGGCACCGGCTAGCACGCCCCGGAAAATATCTCAAGAGCCGGTGTGGGGACTGATCTCTTCGTCTATCAAGATTCAATCCAGCCCGCGCCTGCGGTAGCCTCCCTGCGTTAGTCCCTGCTGATCATCCAATCAACTCTGGGCTCTGACGTTGCCTAATTGGTTTGTGGCGGAGACTCCAGATCGATGGAAACCAGGGTTGCTGTGGGCTGCAAGATCTGGAAAAGAAGGAATCATGATTCATGCCAGTGGTAACCGACAGGGCAATTGATTGGATTCCTCAGCGAGGCCGACGATGAGGAGAAAGTATTTCGAGGCCGCACGGCAGAGACTTAGCTCTCCACCCACAAGGAGGATCGGCTTCCGGCCTGCTTGTATAGGAGTAGGGAATATGCTTGGGCGCCTCAATACCCGGCTCGAAGAATTTGCCATGCCGAGGAATTCCACTCGACTCCCAGCTCCCTGACGATCTCTCATGCCTTGGTCCTCCCCTCACAATTCCTCCTTCGCTCACGGCCTTTCGTTTTCCAGACACGCTTCCACCTCAGGCGATATTGTTGAAAGGATGGGCTGTGCGCTGGGGAAAGAGGACAGAAGGAGGAGGATGAGCCACCTCCGGGTCGAGCGGCGGCTCAGGCACGACCAACAGTCTCGGAAGAAAGAGGTAAAGATCCTCATGCTAGGTTGGTGCCTTTGAGAAAATGTGAGCTGTGTCCGCGATACTGAACGTTCGGATAGGGGCTGGCGAATCCGGGAAATCCACCGTGCTGAAGCAGCTGAAACTCGTCAACGGAGGCGGCTATTCCGCCGACGAGCGGTGGTACTTCAAAGGGGTCATCTTCGCCAATATCGTCCAGTCCATGCAAGCCGTTTTGGAGGCCATGGATGTCCTTGGCATCCCATTCTCAAACCCTGCGTCCGATCGGCACGCGTCGGCAGTCCTTTCACAAAGACAGAAGATGACTGCCGCAGAGTTATCTCCAGAGGTACACCACGCCATCAAGGCTCTTTGGGCCGATGCCGGCGTGCAAACCTGTTTCTCACGATGCAACGAATTCCAAGTCTTCGATTCTGCACGGTAGTACGTCGCTAGCACAGGGTGTTGGGCAGACCCACGGTTCACCTTTTGACTCCTAAGATACTCTTTCTAATCATGGTAACAGCTACTTCGACTCTATCGATCGGATCTCATCCCCGAACTTCGTCCCCGACGACCAAGACATCCTCCGGTCCCGGCACAAGACCACGGGCGTTGCCGAGTTCGCCTTCACATCAAACAAGGACACGGTCTACCGCGTCATCGACGTCGGCGGGCAGCGGTCTGAGAGAAAGAAATGGATGCACCACTTCGAGGACGTGGACCTGGTCCTCTTTCTCGTCGCCCTGTCCGAGTACGACCAGATGCTCTATGAGGATAGCTCGGTCAACCGCCTGCAGGAGGCTATCAATCTTTTCCGTGACGTGTGCGAGTCCCGGTGGTTCACGCACTCGACGGTCCAATTGGTCTTCAACAAGACGGATCTCTTCCGGGAGAAGCTGTCTCGCTCCCCACTCGAGGCTTTCTTCCCCGATTATGAAGGTAAGGATTCCCCTTCTATGTCGCTCCCGGGCCTTTGATACCTCTACCATCCCTTCGTCTTGTGTGTCAGCTGCCCTTCCCATGTTGCGAGGTGTTGTTGCTGACTCCGCGTGGGGGCATCCGGGGAATCAGGCGGGTCAGACTATGAGGCCGCCTCCCAATATATATCGGACAAATTCAAGTCGCCGAACCAGGCGAGACATCCGGATTTCTTCATTTGCGCGACCGACACAGCGCAAATCAAGACGTTGATGGGAAGAATCATCGACATAATGGGAAAACGTTCAGTTCCGGCAGCCTCGGAAAACGCGCGACCATGACACCTGAGACCCCGTTTCTGCAGAGAGAGCAAGTCCTTTAAATCAGCATTTCCACAACACAAAGTATCTGAAGCTGGTGGGTGCCTGGCCATCTATCCCCAGTCTGCTTTTGGTTTCGGATGTGACTCTGTCGCAGAAGGTCTCTGTTCGCTGTTCAGCAAAAGAATCTACTGTCAAAATCGCGCCGGGTGGGAGGCACCTATTCATTGGTGTAACTGGACCGCTCAACATAGCAATCATATTTCGTCGAGATCCAAATCATCCCACTTCTCGAGCAAATACTCCAAGCCAATGTTATCGATGTTCATCGACATGTTCTGATCGACGTCCATATTGGTGTCGGAATCGCCTAGTAAGTGGTTGCACTCGTCGGAGAGGACGATGCTGTTCTCCTTGGCCTTGCGGCGCAGAAGACGCAGAACCCCTCGACTGACGCGAAACCTCCGACTGGCAGCGCGGAGGTTGACACAAAGCTTCAAGAAGGCGTCTTGAGACTCGGGTCGGTCATTCAGTTCTTCGAGCAAGGTGAAGGCACCGATGGTGGCAGGCTGCATGATAATGACCGGGAAATGGTCTGCGCCCCAGTTCAAGCGCATTTGATCGAGCAGATTACTGATATTTTTGGCGGCCGACATGCAGACTTCAATCCAATGGCTGCGCACCGAAGATTTCGGCGTCCGCGCCAGGGACGGTCGGTTCGATACCCCGGCGTCGAGGGCGGCTGTTTGTTTCGAAATTGTCACGTTGACCCAGCTGTGGAGTGCACTGTCGACAAAAGCAAGAGTATAGGACGTTAGCAACGAGAGAGAACCTCTTCGCTGATGGAAGTGGAAAATGGACCACAAATAGAGGCAGTTCCTCATGGAAGACAATGGGCTAGGGAGGCGTGGGTACATCGCACGGGCGGGACACAGGGTTTCAGCTTACTGCAAGGCAATGACATGAGGCATAGCGTTGTCATGCATTTTCATGCACTCCGGTAGATGGTCCGGCCAGTCCTCCACCTCCTGGTACACGCGTGTAAATTTGTCCTTTGCGCCGCCGCCGGCGTTATTTTGTTCCTTCTCGAACAGTGTCTCGTCCAAGGTCGCCTTTTCGGCGAGCGAGATAAAGGCGAGATAGTGGCACTTGGGGTGCCACTCGATCCTCGGATGGGGGACGGGGTATGGGGCCCAGGGCGACGCTCGCTGTTGTTGGCAGCCGCCGGACTGTGTGATGGGTTTCGGTCGGGACGGGCGGTCAAAGACGCGGACCTGCTTCAAGGCGAGGCCGATGAGTGGGTTGAGGGCGTACAGAGTCCACTCGAGCCGGCAGAGGCAGGAGTCGACCTTGGAGAGGTACTCGTGGGTCATCGAGGGGTCGTGCTCGATCCTGTGACGCCACTTGCTCAGGCCCTTGGAGAGGAAGATCTGCTGGTACAGAACACCGTTCCCCAGCTTGTCCTGACCGTTTATGTTGAGGCTGGGGAACACAACGCGCAAATTGTTTGTGAGCAAGGGAAAAAAAGCAGGAATTGAGACAGGTCGAGGGGATCAATCATGGTGTGCACCCCGCGACTTACTATGTCCACTGCACCCCCAATGTTGCCACCGTGGCCAGCGACACTTGGCCTTCTTCGGCTTCGAGCCCCCTTTTGGCTTCGTTGTAGAAGTGATCCCGAATCTCCAAGTTGGGATCTGTGCCATCCTCCGCCAGGGTGTCGAGTAGCTATTATGTGGGCTGGAAGTCAGTTTCGTTCTCTTGTGACAAATCTCAGGGGTTGATTTTCGGGGGCAGAGGGGAGGACTGTGGGGGGGGGGGGGGGGATGAAACTGACACAGGCGTCGGCGAGGATCATATTGACCAAGTAGGGAGTGCATAGCAGGCTCGAAGGGTCACCCGATCTCATGGCTTCGAGAAAGAGATCTTGGTCCACCCAGTGCCACCAGGGATGAGCCCAGGTAAACCAAAGAGAGATGAGGTGCGAAACGAAGTCATCGTCGTCGGTGACGGTGGTCCACGGCTTCGCGGGCACGGATATCGGGGGGTTCACGATATCCTGGATCCGGCCCAAGCGGGCGCGGTGTCGCCTGTACGTCGGGGACGTCCCGTGGCGATGGTTCTGGAGGTCCAGCTCTCTGATGCCGCCGAACTCGTGTTCGAGGAAGCCGGCGAGGTGCTGTCGTCCAGCGTTGCTTCGTATCAGACCGACCAGAGCATCCAGCTGGTATGGTCCTCCTGTGCGGATCGCGTGGAGCAGGGCATCCAACAGATGGCGGTCTTTCTCCAATGACTCCAACCGTCGTTTGACCGCGAGCTTGCGCCGTCCGTCGTCGTATTCGTCTTTGACACATTCGGTGTTTCGGGAAAGGCACGAAGCGCAGGGGACGCCGCCGTCACACTGGCACAAAAGTCAGCCACATCCGCCGTTCTCATTTTCGTCCCGTCTCTCTCAGACATAAACACGGGCTGGCGAGTGGCTTGAAGGACGCGTACCTTGGTCCGACGTCTCCTGCACGCCAGGCACGCGAGGCTCACTTTCTTGCGAGATGAGGAGGGCTGGGGGGCATTGTCAGGGTCGGTGTCTGGAAGCGGGCCGAGTTCTTGGGACATGATTATGACCATTTAAAAAGAAGCCGAAAAAGAGATAAGGGACCGAGTTGGGGTTTCTTTCTTTTGGAGCAAGAATGGGATGTAACGAGGGGAAATACAAGTTCTGTAAATGTATAATGGATCTTTTGTTTTCGCAGTGCTCGAAGCGAAGTCTTGCGGGGAGTAGTTCTTCAAAGTGTTTGGTATGTGAGGCTGCGCAGACCTTCTGTTCGCAAGTCTCGCACAGTCTTTTCCAGGCGAGACGTGTATGACATCAATTCTTTTGCGGTAGAACCAGAGAGCAGGCAGAAGATTTGGACTGCTATGACGAAACCGAACATCACACAGCCCATCCATTCGATTTTGACAGTCCACCGGAGAACGCATCCGCGGGCTCATTGGATCTGCCAGTCAAATGATTGTCCACCCCGGAAACATCATGCACGGGAGATGATCTGCGCGCTGGGTATAAAGTATCGACGAGGGATTTCCTACTGCACTGCTCTCTGAGCTCTGTTGTTCCTCTATCCCTGGGGCTTGCATGCTGAAATTTCCCCAGGGTCGTTCGTCTCACCGATATAAAATCCCGAACGGCCGATCCATCCACACATGGTCGTGAGCTCGGTCTCCTCGGTGCCTGTTACAGTCGGAAGAAAACCATTTGTCAAACAAAAAAGCCGGTAAAAGCTTGAATATGCAGGATTCCGGGGATGGAATGACTGTGGAAGGAAAGAATCACGCTGAGCTGACAGTCTGACCACTGCTGTGCTTCTGAGGGACAGCCCGATGGAACTACAGAGGATGATTGGACAGGCCGTCATCAGCATTAAACACCAACAAAAGGCCCAATTGCCGACTCAGCGCCATATCCATGAGGCTGGAGTTGTCAATTCCTTCAGCGAGGCTTGCAGCAACACAGTGCCTTCTTGACACGGACATAGATGGGATAATTTGGCCGCGTGATACATTCATTGGATTTCACAAGCCCGAGTTCAGCATCCTCATATCCCTGCTGGCTATCCGGAGGATATCTGACCGCCTCCCTCGCTTCCCTCCCGAATTGAACAAAAGGACGAACATAAGACATTTACGGATTGGCAGTCGAGCCGTGCACGAAGGAAAAGAAGCAGGAGCAATTGGGACACCACGATACACAGCTCGGAGAAAGGGTCCGGATCAGCGCCCCCGAACTGGCTCCATGTGGTTCGATCTTCCCCACCCTTTCGACTACCGCCGGTCCAATGTTCCGAAGCGCAGAAACTGGTGCCATTGTTTTCTATCGACATGGCGCTAGGAGAGGGGCAAGTGACGTTTGAGCTGCTCTTCAACATGCTTCTCATCTTGCTGAAGGCTCGACTTTCTGGTCATGCCTAAAGCATGCCTGGACGGTAGTCAGTTCGGCCACCCAGAAGTGGCGCCGGGAGACTCGGACAGGCCTGATATCGGAGCTCTCTGAACTTTCTCTACGTCGACGTCTTGAGCTGCGTAAGGAAGCAAGCTGTCAGTGCGCTACACAGTTGAGTGGATAGCTATTCAGTAGTAGAATATAGTCCATTGGTGGTGGACTTGTCCAAGCCCCGTCGGGAACACCCCGCGCCAAGGTGCAGAGCGTTATACAGAGTATGTATCAATAACTTCCCACCGACAACGGGATGGCGTCCTGTTTCTGTATTAGTGCCGCAGAGAGATTCAGCGATGGATAACATGGGCCACTGGTCGGGGGTGTTATTCTGCAGAGGCTGCGTTGTGTACAGACTCAGTAGTGCTGCTGTGTCCAGATTACGTCGTTATGAAGTCAGGAATAGCCGGTCCGCGAGGATCATCAGGGGCTCACTGGAGAGACTTGCCGTGACGTTCTATCTCAGTATAGGCTGGCTGGCTGGCTGGCTAGTGCGTCGCTCGTCATGTGTCTGACACGAGGCTCCTCAAGAGGCTACAACACATGGGGTGAGATCGCGATGCGACCCAGAGTCACCTGCGTTTTCCCCAGAGTCATTGACGTGACGCCGAAATCTCCTGCGAAGAACGAGACCGGATGTGACTTGCGGACCTTTGACAGGTCGGGCAAATCAAATCAAGTCATCATCAGTCAACGACAGACCGCAGTCGAGGCCAATGTCCTACCTAGCTCGTGCCATTATGATCCTCCCGACGACATCTATACATGCCTAAGACTACCTCCTCGTAGCTCTGTTGACGACGGTTCAAGAAATGGGAATTACTGCTGCAGAACTCTTCCTCCTACGTTCAGCTGCACGATCCATCTCGACGCGACCTCTGGTATCAAGCCTCTCGCGGACTCTGTTCCTCCTTCAGCGAGCTGTCATTGTATCTTCTACCCCCAGACGCCGTCCAACCATAGTGCCACGTCGTTTCATCAGCATGTCTTCAGATCCCAACCAGTTCATGAGAACTTCTGGTCGCCATGACTCTGTCTGGGTGCACCTCGAACCGTATTCCAATCGACCGCAGTTCCCCAAGCTGGACAGGGACTTGGAGACCGATGTGTGTATCATCGGATCAGGCATCTCGGGCATTTCGACCGCCGAGCAGCTCGTGAGGAGGGGCGTGAATGTCGTTATGCTCGAGGCAAGAGACATCCTCTCAGGTATAACTCCCATTGGAGTCTAGGGACGATGACGTGTGTTGACACCTGCTTGCTGTAGGGGAAACCGGTCGAACGTCCGGCCACTTGTCTTCAGACCTCGACGACGGCTATGTGGCGATCAAGAGGCTGTTCGGCCCCGAGGGAGCAAAACACACGGCGGAATCGCACAACTGGGCTATCAGGCATGTGGGTGAAGTCTCGAAAGAGCTCGGGATCGACTGCGAATACCGCATGCTACCGGCATACAACCTGTCCCAGTACCCCGTGGGCACCAAGGAACATGACGACGACATGGCAGAACTACAGGAAGAGTCTGCCCTGCAAAAGGAACTCGGCCTTGACTCGAGATATGACGAGAACCTCACCGTCAAAGGCTGGAGTGGAAAGCCGGACCAAAGAGGCGGAGTCATCGTCGGTCGTCAAGCGACGTTCCATCCTACCAAATACTTGGTGGGCGTGCTGAAGTGGCTCAAGGAGCAACCCAACTTCCAATGTTACACGCATACACGAGTGACTGACTGCGCTGAGAGTGGGATTCACGTACCCCTGGTCGACGTCCACCTGGGCGCGAAGAGTGTGACAGTCTCGACACTGAATGGCCACACGGTCAAGTGCAACCACGCGGTACAGGCCACCTGTGTGCCATTGCAGAAACTCAGCATCATCGCCGAGATGGAGTACAACCGCACATACTGCATCGCCATCCGCGTCCCCAAAGACACCGTCGAAGACTGTCTCATCTACGACTCGGCCGATGCATACAAGTATACCCGCATGACTGAATGCGACGAGAAGGACGATTATATAGTCGTCGGTGGATGTGACCACAAAGTGGGCCAGGAGGACGGGTGGGACGCGCGGTACAAGGAACTGGAAACATGGGCTCGAGAACGATTTCCCGGTGCTGGGAGCGTCGACTACAAATGGTCAGGCCAGATCTTCGAGCCGGTTGACCACATGGCGTTCATTGGCAAGAACGAAGGTAGTGAACGTGTCTACGTTGTTACCGGTGACTCGGGCAACGGCTTGACTCATGGAGTGCTGGCAGGTAAACTGCTTGCGGACGAGATCCAAGGCGTCGACAACCCCTGGGCGAAGGTTTATAACCCCAAACGCATCTCGTCCGTGGCGGCCAAGCTCCCGAGCATGATCGAGCACGACGTCCAGATCAACACGCAGTACAAACGCCTCCTGCAAGCGGACATCCAGGACGTCGAAGATCTGGGCAAGGACCAAGGAGGCGTGCTGAACCCAAGGACGTCGCATCCTCAAGCCATCTACAAGGACAAGGACGGCAAGGTCCACCGTATGAGCGCGGTGTGTCCTCACCTCAAGGGCATAGTGTGCTGGAACAACGACGAGAAGAGCTGGGACTGCCACGTCCACGGCAGCCGATTCAGTCCCGAAGGACTTCAACTCATCGGTCCCGCGAAAGGTGGCCTGCAGCCTTTTGACGACAATGCAAAGGCGAGACAGGAGATAGCTGCCGAGTCGTGAGAACGTATGAAGTGAGCATGTAAAGAACACCTACACGCGGACTTCAGGTCCGAATGCAATCAAACGTCATTAGCAAAGAGTCAAAGATCCAAATTATGGCGGCATTTCAGATCATCTTCTGTGGGTACTTTGTCTTGCCTTCATTGTCTTCTTGCCTTGTCCTCTCCTCATCTTGATCCTTACCTTGCCTGGTGAGTTGCAGCATCAGAAAATACACCTTCTCCTCCTCAGCCATGCCAGCACACTATATCGACCCGGCCAGACCAAAGATTCGGTCCTCACTGCTCGAAAGTATCGCCATAGAAATTGGGGTAGGGTTATGTGACGGACTGGATCGTCTTGGGGATGCAATGAATGCTTGAGATCCTCGAAGAATGAAGAGTCACATTAGTGGGTGGTTCCACTAAACTCAAGAAGCCAAATGACAAGGAAATGACCCTGTATTTTTACACACGGAGGCGGAGGTAGGGAGACTCATTCCGTTTCTGCGTGCGAGTTGGTCACTGTTTATCATCCGACACTTGAGGGACTGGCGGATGATAAAAACCTCCGACGTCTGCCAAGCCACTTAACGCGTAGTCCCGTGATCGCGCGACTCTCATAAATCACGTGACGTCTTCCACACTGTCAACAGCTCTTCAAAGCCTTCTTCCTATCCACGAAACAATTTATCCAAGCAGTTCAGCATGCAACCTGGCGCCCTTCGGAAATGCCCCCGGATTCGAGCAACATCTGATTCTAACACTACAGACCTTCAAGACAGAGTTGGTAATTGAGGCACCAAGAACGCCCGGCGCTTTCTCGGAGGTTCTATTGGGGATGGTCACTGGTCTGAAACCAAGAGACAATGTGCGGATTTCTGGTCAATGCTGACGAAAAGCTATCTGCAGTTCGTGCTCCAGGCTGCGCCGTTCCCAACCAGCCTCGCAGGTGAGCAGGTATAACGGCGACAAATAACTTTAAGACCGCAGACAAGACACCGTACCGAGCACACCGGGATCCCTCCGCACATCCTGGACAGCCGTAACAACCTGGAAGCGAGTGACCAACGGCACGGGGCACTCTCCACCTATTCCGAGCGCTTAAATATAACACCGTCGGTCAATAAATCCCACCCTGTTGTGCCTATTCAGTTCGCCCTCTTACGAGTAGAATGTTGGTTCTGGAGTGTCTGCTTTATTGTTTCTAACCACAATGTCCAGTCTCTTGGAAATATTTGGCCAGGGCCACAACGCCTACTTTTCTAATGGGCCCATCACCCGTCTCTCGTTCATCCGCTTAAACAACCAGCTGTTAGACAAAGCCTCGACCCATCCGAGTGCAAAGTATCTCACCTTCAACGAGTTGAACCCTCTGCGGTCGCCAGATGGGAAGCTCGCCTTTAGCAGATATGAAGACGTTGCCAGCGCAATTGGTCGTCCTTACGCCAAAGACGAGAAGACCCAGATAGCTGAGTTCAACCCAGCTGATCACCACCCGACCCTCATCTTCCTCGGCTTGGACCTGGAAGACAAATCTGCAACCACTGGAGAAAATATTCAGCTGGGTCAGTACTCCGGAGTGCCCTATTTTGCTCTCGATGTGAGCCCGAATCATTATGCTGCATTCAAGGAGTCACAAGCAACCACCGGTCTGAAGTATGTACCTACCCGGATCGACCTCACACTAGATCACCCGCAATCAGCCATATATAGCCATGCACGGTCGCTGATCGACTGGAATAATCGCAACCGCTACTGTTCTAGCTGCGGTGGCCGCATGCTGTCCACCCATGGCGGGGCGAAAGTGGTCTGTCCGCCTGCCGACAATGGCGTCCTCCGTCAGCGAGCATGTCCGACCCGGATTGGCCTTCACAACCAGGCATTCCCAAGGACTGACCCTACTGCCGTCATCGCCCCTATCTCGGCCGACGGGAAACGTGTCCTTTTAGGCCGTGGAAAGCGCTGGCCTGCCAACTACTTCTCATGTCTCTCGGGCTTCATCGAACCCGGCGAGAGCATCGAGACGGCGACAAGGAGGGAAGCCTATGAGGAAACTGGCGTCCACATCGACAGAGTGCAGATCCATTCCAGTCAACCGTGGCCCTATCCGTCGACGATGTTGATCGGCGTCATCGGCCAATGCGTCGAAGGGGGAGAGTCCATCACCTACCCGGAAACAGAGCTGGAAGAAGCCAAATGGTTTGAACTCGCCGAGATTGAGCACGCCCTGAACAATGGCGCAAACCCAATGTGGGAGCCGCCCATCAAGGGATACATTGGTCCCAGAGTGCCTCCGAGCCAGCTAACGGCTCACCAAGTCCTGAGAGGAGTGTTGAGGTTGTTTCACAAATAAAAACGACATGGTCTGTCCAACCTCACATTGAGTGCCGTAAGAAATGAAAAACAATTATGCCACAAGTCTCTGTTATCTAAGAATTACTTATCTGCTTTTACTTATTGTATTCAAACTAATTGGTCTGCGTGCGCGGCCTATTCCAAAGCCATATGATCCGAGTTGATCTCCCCAGGGAACATGGTCCAGAACTCCTGAAAGATGCCGGCCATCTCTTCCTCCGAGACGAGGTAATCGGCACCGTCGAAGTCATCCGGGACAGTGAGCGCATCGACGCCCGACGAGGCGCTGGCCGAGTGCGGCGTATCCTGTTGTCGGAGCGGTGGATAGTGCGGCGGTCTCGCATCGACGCTGGACCAGGTGTCTGACTCTGACCCTGACGCTATCGCCGTCGCCATCGCCTTTTCTGATGCGTTTCCCGCGAAACGAGCGCCACCGGTCGTGTCCGAGACCACCGTGTCGTGCAGGGCGCCGTAATCGACCATTAGATTGCGGAAACACTGCAGCTCTTCCACCGACAGGCCGGTTTTTTGTAGCCTGGTGGCGTGGTATTTTTGTAACGAGTATATATTCTCGAGCTACACGGTACGCGGGTGATTGAGGTCAGCCATATGGGGTGTATGATGAGCACGGGTCATGTCATGTCATGTCATATAGTGTCATGTGTGAGGTATTGCGAGGAAGAAAAGAAGGGCGAAAGGGGACGGGGGAGGAATGTGACCAAGTGACAACGTACCCAGCGGCTGGCCATGGGCCATTCGTTCTTCATCTCCTTGAGGAGCAGGTATGCGCTGTGCAGCTTCTGTCTAGTGCTGGTGAGAAACTCGACGCTCGGCTCGAGCGGGAATGATTGGAAGTACAGCATGACCCCGATGGTGGTGTAGACGGTAAAGCCGATCCAGGGCACCAGGCCGCGCCGGAAGTCCGCGCCGGCCCGGTTGATCTCGTCGCACATGTCGCACACGGTGGACGCCGTGTCGTAGAGGGTGTGCGACGACCGGTCCGCACGGTCGGGGAAAGCTGCCCCTTCCTGGTCTGGACTGTTCCGAGGCGGCGGTATTGGTTGTGGTGGTGCTGGGCTTCTCGCCAAACCCAGGTGCGGCAGATGATGCCGATGGAGGAATATCAGAGCCATGAAATATATGCAGTGCATGTAGCAGAAGCCTTGGCCCTGTTCGAGCACGCTGTGGGCTTGCAGAGAGAAGAGACTGTACCGTAGCCGGGCCGGCAACGTCGCTTTCCAGTGCTCAAGCGACGAGACGAGGCTGTGCGCCCTCGACTCCCGATCACTTTTACCTGGACTTTGAGAGGCAGGGTTGTCGTCGCCGCACGACGCCCACTTCGCCACATGACCCCATATATCTGCAACTCTTACCGTGTGAGCAAGGATAGACGGGCTTGACCTTGTGTCAGGCCGCTCCTCGCTGGAATACTTGTACGCGTCGTTGAACAGTTCGCATCGCACGGGTGTCCCAAACACGAATGCCTCGTCTTCACACGGAAGCTGAATCGTCATATCCTCGGATCGGAGGATACGTGCACGACTGCCGCCACCGCTGAGAAGGCTCTCCATGAGGAAGCATGTCCAGGCGGTGCGTCGACGTTCCTCGGCCAGGATGAATGCCTCTGACACCGACGAACCACTACCAGACGCGTTCGAGGTTTCTGCGCAGAGCCCCATCATCTGCACCATGCGCACAGCAATGCCGAGATAAATCCATGCACTCTTCCCGTCACCTGCTCCCCACTTGTGGCCCGTGAGCAGCAAAAGAGCCTGCACCTGGGGTAGGCTTGGGGAGGTGATACGGAGCTGGACAGCACGTGATGCTCGCTGGGCAAAGAAATTGCTGGCTTCGAGCGGTGAGCCAAAGCAGCCCGGCGTGGGAGAGTACCTAAGGACGGGTTAACAAGAGGACGCTAGATTCAGCGCCCAGTCGGAAGGAGCGCACCTGGAAGCCAGAGTGAGGATGGCCCACGCCATTGCCGTATCAAGTGTTCCATCCCTAATCTGTTGCAAGAGCCTTGGCTTGTGGTGGAAACTCCACTTGTAGGTACATCGCAGGTAGCACTGTTGCACGTCGTGTGTGAACCACCTCAAGGGATCGTCCGATAGGTGCTCGCCCCCGGAGAAGGAACGCAAGTCTTCAGTAGGGTTTAGCCTGAACGATTGATCGTCGGCCGCAATGAAGCTTGCAGAGGCGTTGGGTCTGCCGTGTTCCGGCCTTCGAGGCTGCTCAAACTGACGCTGAATCCCACGGCGCGGCTTCTTCGGCTGCCGATGTAGAGCGGACGTCCATTTCTGGGGAAAATAGCACGAAGCCGCGCGACCGGCCGACCGGCAACGATCACATGGAGCTTGGTTGTGGTGCGAACATCTCAACTTGGCCGTTCGGCAGGGAACACAGGCAACGGCATTTCGAGGCGCTGTGGGACGTGCTGACATGAAAGGTTGTTGGGCCTGGTATCCTTGTTGATTGTCACCTGTGTCTGGTGGAGGCCCTTGTTTCTAGTCCAGAGAGTCCTTTGACGGAGAGCCTGAAGGGGTATTGGACCTGCAACACAATGGGACTATTGTTCAAGGGTGTGGATGTCCCGGCTCAGAGGGAGCGACTTGCCGAAGCAGCGGGCACGGACAAAGCTCCTCAGTAGTCTGAAAGTGCAAAGGGATGAACTTTGAGCAATTAAACCCATACCTATGTTAGCTAACAGTTGTACTCCCTTAGGTCAGGTATTGGCTCCTCCTGGCCGCGACGGTTCTGGGGACGTGAGGATATGAGGATGTGGAGGGAGTTGACGCGGGGCGAAAATAACGTGGAGAAGGTGTCTTGGCGCGTTCCACAAATACCAAAGTCTGACCAATCGGTGTTATCGGCGTGATCGGCAATATCGGCACTTGAGCCATGCCTATTGGTCAGTCTTCCGTGGGTACCCGTTATATCCTTCTCCCAGTCTCACGTTCAACCACCTCAGCAACATTTCGCATGCCGGTTGATCTTTTATCATCCTCTACCGGTACTAGAATGAGTTGCAGAGAGTCTCCAAGTCCAAATGAGTATATTATTCCTATTCGGGCGGTAAGCGAACCGTGTGACAACAAGTCAGAGGCTGTACTGTCATGTTTTGGCCATTCCAAAGGAGGACATTCTGAGCGAGGAGTTGACCTCACACATCTCGCTATGTCCTACATGCTCAGGGCTCCTACGGCACGTCGGGTTACAATTCATCCCATAGCGTTTCGACGCCTTGAGCGATCTGGAACCTGGCCGAACTTCAGAACAAGGTCCAAAAATGTCTTTGCTCCACCGAGTTGAAGGTCAATGCAGCCTTGTCCGTGTTTTCACCGAGTTGTGCCATTAAAGGCACACCGTCTGCTGTTGGTTGGGGGATAGCATTCCATTTCTTGTCCATCAAGTCTGAAAAGCTTCTCCCCTTCTCTCGTGAACGTCATCTTCTAAACACCGTCAAGAGGAACTGTGCCGTGCCACTGGGGCCACCATGGAAATGCTTCGAACAGCAGCAGTCAGAACCGGATTCTCAGGACCTTCAACCTTGTGTGCTCAAGCGGGCCCAAGGCTGCTGCGTCAAAACCCGGGCCTATCATCAATCAGATCTTTTTCCGCGTCAGCCAACCGCAACGTGAAGATTCTGTCTGTTTTATATGATGTAAGCTCTCCTCCATTCTTCCCCCATTCACTGTGTTACAACTTCCAGAAGGAAACCACTTCGCATTCAAGTGGACGTAACTATACTGACAGCCCTAGGGAGGTGAACATGCCAAACAGCAACCACGACTGCTAGGGACGACCGAGAATGAGCTGGGTCTCAGGAAATGGCTTGAAAACCAGGGCCATACTCTCGTTACCACCTCTGACAAGGAGGGCCCGAACTCGGTGTTTGAAAGAGAGCTCCCAGATGCAGAGATCCTTATCACCACCCCGTATGTGGAGCCTCGAGGTCACAACATTGACTCTCCCGGTAACCCTTACCCTGTGCTAATCCAAGGGCTAACTCAGATTCCACCCGGCCTACCTCAACGCCGACCGATTAGAGAAGGCCAAAAAGCTCAAACTAGCCGTAACTGCTGGTGTCGGATCAGACCACATCGACCTCAATGCCGCGAATAAGACCAACGGCGGTATCACCGTCGCAGAGGTCACAGGCTCCAACGTGGTGTCGGTCGCCGAGCATGTGGTCATGACTATGCTCGGCCTGGTCCGTAACTGGATTCCAGCACACGAACAGATCGAACGGGGTGAATGGAATGTTGCCCAGGTCGCACGGAATGAGTATGACCTGGAAGGTAAGGTGGTGGGCACAGTTGGCATCGGAAGGATTGGCCAACGTGTTCTACGACGATTGAAGCCGTTTGACTGCAAGGAGCTCCTCTACTACGATTACCAGCCTCTCAACCCTGATGTGGAAGCCGAAATTGGCTGCCGAAGAGTGGAGAGTCTAGAGGATATGGTAGCCCAGTGCGACATTGTCACTATCAACTGCCCGCTACACGAGAAGACTTACGGCCTGTTCAACGAGGAGCTGATCTCGAAGATGAAGAAAGGTAGGATCCTCATCCTCGAGATTTGAACCACGTTACTAACATGCCCCAGGCTCATGGATCGTCAACACTGCCCGCGGCGCAATCGTCGTGGCCGACGACATCGCGGCTGCTCTGAAGTCAGGCCACCTGAACGGGTACGGCGGCGACGTCTGGTTCCCCCAGCCCGCGCCACGAGACCACCCGCTTCGCTATGCAAAGAATCCCCTCGGAGGAGGTAACGGCATGGTCCCCCATATGTCGGGCAGCTCGCTGGACGCGCAGAAGCGCTATGCCGACGGGGTCAAGAGGATCCTCCAGAGCTACCTGAGTGGCACGCACGATTACGAACCGGCGGATCTGATTGTCTACCAGGGAGACTACGCCACACGGTCGTATGGCCAGAGGAAGAAGAATTGATCATGTACATAAGGAGGAGTTGTTGGGTCGACGGCTGTGACGGTTGTTGCCATATACAGTTTTCAATTCTACCCCCAGTCGTGGGAGAAAAGCCTTTGATTTGAACCTGAATGTCTTTTTTTCTAGTCGCGTGGATGTTTTTATGCCTTGCAGCGATGGTTGATGTCCACGTCGTCTTCTCTCTTGTCGTGAGCAGCCCAATGAAAAGGTCGGTTGATGCTTCATCTCCATGCCCGATTGGTCCACGTCTCCTGCACAAATGCCCAAGGCGAACGAGGCAGACAAGGCTGAGGGCATTATTGAGGCTGAGGCTGGACGTGGGCTGTGCACGTGCAGCCCAAATCGCAGGTGGAGGGGAATTTGACCTTCAGCCTCACGCCTTCCTTCTTGCCCACCTCGAGTCATCCTGCTTCTCTATCTTCATCTTGATCATCATCATCCTTCTCGACCTGTTGCTCCTCCGGTCGCCCTTTTGGTATGGTCCTTGATCCACTCTCCGCCATCGGCCTGGCCGCAAATATCGTTCAATTCATCGATTTCAGTCGGCGGCTCATCTCGGATGCAAAGGAGATATATCATTCAACAAACGGAACCTCAGCCGAAAATGTTGAGCTCCAGGACGTCGCCGAGAGCCTCTCGCGTCTCAGCTCAACGCTGATCAGCCCTCTGGATCCCTCACAGGCCGCTGTTGCCCAGACCGAAGCAGAGATTGTCAAGATCGCAGCCGCTTCCCGTGTTGTTGGAGATGAGCTCCAAGCAGCCATCCAAAGCCTTACGGCCGGTGACGGCTCGCGCAAGAAATGGCGAAGCTTTCTCCAGGCCCTCAAGACGCTGTGGAAAAGGGACAAAATTGCCAAACTAAGAAAGCGGCTCGAGGATGCGCGCAGCAACTTGTCCGTTCACGTACTCTCATACATAAGGTAAGACTCGGTCTTCCCAGTTCGATCTCTCTTTCTGAATGCTGAGCATCGTCAGTGTGCGTCAAGGACAGGCTCTTCAATCCTTGGAAGATGCTCGGACACAATATCTCGAGATCGACTCAATGAGACTACAGAGACTTGAGACCATGCTTGAATCGCTCCGCAACCTTGTACAAAGTACGCAGGACATCACAGGCGAGCATTTGACTCGTATCGATCAAGGGCTGCGCAGCTCGGAGCACGAAGCAGAAAGTTTGCGGAAGGAAACGACCATCTTGAAAAGTCTGGTATTCGAGCGGATGGCTGCGAGGTATTCTGCCATTGCTGAAGCGCACAAGGATACATTCAAATGGATATTTGAACCTTCTCGGTGGCCGTCTTCCGATCCTCGTTCCGGCATAAGATTCCACGAATGGCTAACCCATGGTGAAGGCATCTACTGGGTCTCAGGCAAACCCGGTAGTGGCAAGAGCACTTTGATGAAGTATCTTTATGATTGCTCGGAGACGCTGCAACGCCTTGAAGCCTGGGCCGACGGCAGTCGTCTTGTTACCGCCGGATTCTTCTTCTGGATCTCCGGGAGCGACATGCAAAAGTCTCAACTCGGTCTACTTCGACAGGTCTTGTTTGACATACTCAAAACGTTTCCCGACTGGATCCCAATCATCTGTCTAGAAAGATGGGCAAGATCTCGACATGGTTTTCAAGCCGAATGGACCATGCTCGAGCTCAACGAAGCTTTCAGGAGACTGAGCCACCTGACCATACGCGATGAAAACCCTTCAAAACTCTGCATTTTCGTTGACGGTCTAGACGAATATGACGGTGATCCATTGGATATCATGAAGACAATACAGAATATTGCTCGAATCGACAATGTCAAAGTGTGTATTTCCAGCAGGCCATGGAACTGCTTTGAAGACGTCTTTGGCCAGGATCCTCGGAACAAATTATACCTACAAGACCTTACAAAAACCGACATCGCCCTTTACGCGAGAGAAAAGCTGGACGAAGTAGCAAACTTTTCAACGATGACAACAGAAGTCGCTCGGATGGAGAGGCTGGTGTCGGAAATTGTGTCGCGCGCCCAAGGAGTCTTTCTCTGGGTCTACCTAGTCACGCGATCTCTCAGAGACGGCCTTATAAACGGCGATTCTCTGTCTCTTCTGTACGAGAGGGTACTGGAGATGCCAAGTGACCTTGACAAATTTTTTGAAAAAATGATCAAATCAGTGGACAAGGTGTATCGCAGGAGAATGGCGCACACTTTCCGTGTTGTCCTTGCCACATACAGACCCCTTCGACTGCTTCTTTACTCATGCATTGACGAGGGGGACGACATTCTCAGACAGGGTTCCGTGAGGGATGATTTCATGTCAGTCCAAGTTGACGAGAAGATTCAGGTGGTAGAAGAAACAATGAGACGACAACTCAATGGTCGTTACAGAGGACTACTGGAATCTACCGAATCCTCCGACAAACCAGGAGTCAAGCGTGTCGACTTCCTTCATCGGACCGTCGGCGATTTCCTGGAGACAAAACAAATGCAGGATCTGCTTGCTTCTTACTCGGCACAAAACTTCAATGCGTATTTGTGCATATGTAAAGCGTTCATTCGACAAGCCGAGAATTTCCCAGGCAGTGTGAGCTCCCTTGAGTGGGACGACTTCTTTGAATGTGCCTCAGTCGCAGAGGACGAATTGGGCACTCCAAGCACACCATTACTCGACAGAATGAACGATGTTTGTCACTTATGCAGCCCGACGGAGAAAGATAGCCTGGAGCTTGTTGACGGTAAGGACAAATCGTTTCTGTTCAGGACCATTGAATCTGGTTTCTTTTCTTATGTTAGAGATCGACTTCAAAGACAACCGGATCTATTTTTAGGCCATGGCGTAGAACTTTTACGGACGGTAATCGAGACGGCCTTCATTGACGGGCCACCTAAAGAACAGAAGGCTGGGTGTGAGATTGCTCAATTCCTGCTTGAGAACGGTGTCGATCCAAGCGGCGTGGTAAACGTCTGGCCAATGCTGCATAACCTTCATGACTTTGCTTCCACGCACAGAGAAGAACTGGCTTTAGTGAATGAACACTATTTTCGGATACTCATACTGTTGCTTAAGCACGGGGCAATATTTCACCCAGTCCTCGTGGAAGGAGCTGAAGAAGTGGTGGGGCTGATAATGGACATGTGTTACGCGAAACAACATCTGGGGTTGGTGCAGGAGACATTTCGTCTTTTGCTTGACAGAGGACTTGATCCTAATCTCATGGTCGATTTCGACGATGACTGGTATCACAGTGTATGGTCCCGAATGCTCTATCATGTTTACAGGCTTGGACCTGACTTGACTGAACACTGGGGGAAAATGGTATATATGTTTGTGCAAGGAGGAGCTGATCCCGATCTTGTCCAAACATACCAACTTGATGGTGATCTATCTGTGTCGGAAGTTGTGTTCAAAACATTTGGACGCAAGACCAAGCTGCATCAAAAGATTAAAGCTGCTTTGGAGGGTTCGATGCGGCAGACGAGCAGGTCAACAGCACAGCACAGGCGTCCGAGGAGAAGGGAGAAACATACGCGCGTGGTGGACCATCACGATTCCCGGCGAACAGACAGCGAGGTTGAAAAGCGAAGACAAGTGAAAGGACGGCGACAGCAACCACGAGGGAGGAACAAATGCCGGAGACGACGACCACGCATGCCTGAATCAGAGCATCGACCACCAGAAGCCGGAGAGCAAAGACATCGGCCTACGCGGAGGGGTTAGTGACACGGACTTTACATTCCAAGAATCAGGGACCCTATCACTAGCTTCCAGACTCTGAAGGGATATCAGGTCATTCCCTCAACAGGCTGGTTGTCTTGCTCGTTACCCAGGGTCGACAAAGACATTGGCAAGGAGATAAAGAACTCGACTGGAAATGGCTCAGCTCGGCTGGCGAGAGAGGGTGACACGTTCTTGAGACATGTTTACAAATCAACAGCCATGCAGGGTCTTTTGGCGGATCAATCCCCTCGTTGCTCAGATTTTGAATCTGACCTCAAGGACACTCAAAACGCTTCCGTGTGGCTTGTTCACACGTACAATCTCCAATCCAGGATCGGCCTCATTGACTATCGCGTTCCATTGCGCGAGGTCCCTCTCGCCACCGCCCATGGCTTGCATCATGAAGAGGTCTCTCATCCGACTTATGCCTTTCTCTCGTTGTCCGACTCCCGCGTCACTGGGACTCGCCAGCACGACGCTCATGATCACGATTCTGGATCGGTCTTTGTCCATGGCCGGCAGAAGCGTGCGCAGGATTTTGGCGGCGTCGCCATCAGACCAGTTCTGCAGGCACTGTCGGATGAAGAAAACGTCCGCGCCCTGACAGCTGGCTGGCTGTGGCTGGAAGAAGTCGTGCGCTTCGAACACGACCCGATCTCGCAGCTCTGCCGGAACCGATGGTGCCTGCGATAGGACTTGTGGGAGGTCCTGCACTACAAACTTCAGACGAGGAAAAGCCCGTGCAATGGCGATGCTGACATGGCCTGTCGAGCCGCCCATGTCGACGATCTTTGCCCCCTGCGGGAGGGAGCCCCAATCATAGCCACTGACTGTATGTCGAATATGGGACTCCTCGGCGGCGACGATGGTCTTCATGTGCGCAGCCTGTTGTTTTGCCAGAGAGGGGTTCGACATGATATACTTGAAAAACGGCATGTCGGTGTTCATGGCGATGTTGAAGGCCGTTTTGGGTTTCGCCCCGGGACCAAGCTTGAGGTTGGCTTCGGTCATCTCGGGCATTTTGCTCACAACCGCATGTCCCGTCTCACTCATAAAGAGGAAAGTGTCGTGCACGGGGGACGAGGATCTCAGCTCCCGAGAAGTGAGCGTGTGTCCGATCTGACCTTGAACGGGCTCCTGGAAGAAACCTGCCGTCATCGCCATGCGGGCGATGCGCATGAGTTCGCCCTGAGGCACGTTGGCGGCGGCGGCCAAGGTTTCATAGGAAACGGTCCCCGAGGAGGGAACGTGTGTCGCGACATCGAACCGACAGATCCAACGAACCGCCGCCATCTGCTGCGTGTACAGGGTCATTTGTTGCTGAACGTCCGTGGCGGACATGACCAGCTGTTGTATCAGCATGGTGGATTCGAGCAGCGACGCCTTTGCCGCGTTGATTTCTGGGGGTGCGCCGAGCGGGATGTCGAAGGAGCCAGGCTGTCCATCGCCAACTTGGCCGTTTGTATGGGATTCACTCAGGAACCTGGTGATTTGCGCCGCCGCAGTTTGCGTCCTCTGCGCCAGGTTTTCAAGGAGGCTGACCACGTTACCCGAGGACGCCATCACGGCATGAGTTAATGATTGAAGATAGCCACGAAAACGTCACGACTCACGATGGACCTCGGGTGTTGAACAGGACACGGGGGATTGAATGATTGATTACCTTGACTAAAATACAACTCGTCCACAGAGCCTCAGCCGTTTAGGCGTCCGCAATGATCACCACTTTCTCCCTGACCGCCCCAACGCTGCTGATATTGCTACTGCTGTTGCTGCTGCTGACTCAGTTCTGGATGTATGCATATATCTTCGGAAGCCTCCCTGGTCCTGGTCCCCGAAGGAAGTGGGAAAGACACTCCGTAATAGCTTGGGGGCTGAGTTTCATCCGGTACATTGGCGATTCTTATTAACTGGCCCCCTTTTTTTCTGGTTTCGTGTCCCGCGTCGGGCATCTCTGTCGGTTGAGACGGAGCTGCAATAGGTAAGCACTAACAAGTAATAGTGCTTCTGTGTGTGGTACATTACTCGGACCTACAGCACATAACTCGCTACCTAGGTAGTTCTAGGAAGTCCCCGAAGACACAACACCTGAGTGAGGAGGAGGACTGTGGAATGATATGTCCCTCTGTCCAAATATTCCGTTTCATGTACCTCGTTCGTACGTGACGGGGGATGATTTTAAAGCCAAACCTTGTTGTACTGGTTTATAGCTGAATGGGGGATTATTCGAGGCCTGAAAAGGGCTAGTGAACCCTGGTCGTGAACTCCGTTTCGGGTATAGTGGCTGAGTGGATTCCGTTCTGGGTTAATCGTACTTCCTTCCTGGGTAGGCACGTAGGTAGGTAGGTAGGTAGGTAGGTAGGTATGTACTTGTGGCTGCCAAGGAGGTAGGTACACACGGCATAGCATACCACCCAGCCTCGGCGGGCATATTGTTGTTTGTGTCGAGGTGTCCATGTTCAAGGACGGAATCGCAGTACTTCATGCACCTCTGCGCCGAGGGCGAGGTATAACATTGTTTTTGGTTGCCATTATCCAGAGCAAACATGGCTGATTGCGGGATACAGATAGACCTAGTAAACGAGTACGTGTAGACAAGGTTGTCCAACCCCTCTTCACTATAGCCGCCTACATTAGGTGTCAAAAGTACGAAAGAGCTTGATACGTCTGCACGTGGACCAGGAGCCCGGCCTGCTCTAGCGACTCGCAAAGACTCTGCTAATCCAAGTCCAACAGATGGTGAACCTCATGAAATCCCCATATCGTGTATTGGGGTCTATCCCAGGTCCCGAACACTTTTTGATAGATCTGCTCTTGCCCTCACCTGAACCTCGCATCTTGCGCGGATAGAAGATACAGTCCTGGATCGCTGTTAGCCCCGGAGCTGATAAAACCCCATCACCACTCACCGTATTGGGTTTCGGTATTCTGCCACCCTTCTACCACCGTCAGACCGGCACCCTGCCAGAGTCGTTGTCGATCCTCGTCGTCATATTTGTGGCTCGCCACAACAAAGATCTTTTCACCGGCCTTCAGGCAACGATCCTCAAACCAGATATCCTTCCGAGGTACCAGGTACTGTTCGTGTCGGCCAATGGTTTCGTTCCACTGGCCGGAACGGTCCCATTCGCCTTGGTGGAAGATGTCCTTCCCCAAAATCCGGTTCGCGTATTCCAATGCGTTTTTGATAAATTGGTCGTTCCGGGATTCTGCATCGTTGTAGGCAGACCATACCTGTTCGCCTTTTTTGCAACCGTCCACACCGATGACCATCAGAGCCTCACTACGGTTTGCGCCATTGACGCAATGATCTATAGCTTTGGCGAACCCCGCGAAGAAGTCGGCCGCTTCAGCCCGGGTGAAGCTCCCGAGAGTCGAACCCAGAGAAAGCACCACTCTGGGTCTGGAGGCAATTTCTGGTTGCTGCAGCCACGTCAATCCATCGTCATAGGTGCCCAATAGTCCATGGCACCGGACGTGCTGAAAGGTACCTGGAGACACCTCTTGTAGAGTCCGTTCGAGCTCTGACCGCGACAGGTCCAGGGCGTAGTAGTCGACGGGCTTACTCAAGTCGTCTACCGCTTGCAGAAGAATCTTTGTCTTTCGAAGACACCCACTCCCCAACTCGACAATAATGGCGTTAGACTCAATCCTCTGCGCTATCTGATGGCTGTGTTTTTTCAAGAGCTCAATCTCACAGTTCGTCAGGTAGTACTCGGTCGTGTAAGTGACGGCCTCGAAGAACTTCAAGCCTTGTTCGTCCCACAACAACAATGACGGGAGGCTCGGCGACTGGGCTTTCAATGATCCGGCAGTGTCCTTGAACAACTCGATTTTCTCGGCGTCTGACTGGATATCGATGATGTCAGCCGTCGACAGGTCTATGCGTTCGTCATAGGACCCCATTTTAGAGAGCGACAATGGCTTCTGGATTGCCTGTAAGGGTCATAGCTAAGTAAGTCAAACAAAAGTTTCAAGCAGTTGTATATAGCCTCTCGAAGCGATGGCGCCATCTTCAGATAGGGGCATCTTGTTCCACCAACGAGATCCACGCATGACGGTGCCTGATACGCATGTGCAACTTGAGAGGAGTACCGCGGCATTCGCTGAGGCTTGTGTAACCACAAGCTGCGATCACGACATGGAGATGCGATTTGATTGAACAATCATCGGATGACAAGCCTACCAGCTTGTGAGACGGTCGGGCACATAACGAGTGGAATTAGAATCCGGAGGGCGCTGATCTGGCGGTACTTGGTGCCGATGGAGGATTTGTCCATGGAATGCACTGCGGGAGTTTGTTGCTCATGCGATGCCATGAAGACGGGTGGAAGGAGTCACCCATACTGCTCAATAATTTGCCAGTAGTTTGGGAACAGGAGCAGAGATACTGTTCCCCCAATAGCTTAGCAATGAAGGCTGGATCTCGATAGATTGATGTCGCTACGCGCTTCCAACTCGACGCGTCGCGTGTTCACGTGGCTAATTCACGAACCGATGACGTCAGTAGGGACTTGTCGGGACTTGGCTGCGCCCTGACCTGGAGACTCGCAACCAACGATTCTATTGTGATCTTCACCAGTTGAAATCCCATGCCAAGTCGCTTGCCAATCACGAACGGGTCAGTCTGGACAAAAGCGCAGAGACTTTCATGTCGGCTCGTTCCCATATCACCCACAAGAAAGCAATCCACAAATGCATAGCACTGGTCTCATACTAACTAAGAGAGTAGAAATACGAGCCATCTGAGCTAATGCCTTGATCATGCAGACAAAAGTGACCTCCAGAACGACGAACGCCAGTTGGTCGCTACAAGGTCGATAGGTCTGGAGCAAGAAATGTGCAAATTCTACGAGTAAGGGCCGGGCTCAGATGCACATCTCTACAGCAAATTCTACGCGAGATTCGACTTGTTTCTCAGCGCGGTTGGTGTCAAATATGGCCACAATGAGTTAATCTCCCGACATACAAGAAAATGTCGACAACTTCTGAATCTCGCAACGGGTTGAACAGAATAAGCACGTCCGGCCTGATCAGCATGTCCCTTTGATCTGCGACGTCGAGGTCGCGGAGCAGCTTGGAAGGTATATCAGTCAAATCCTGGTACCACAGAGGAGAGAGAGCAATGGTAGGGAGGTTTAAGCATGTTTGGCATGAGAGGTGCAAGGGCTGCGATGTCTTTCCCCCAATGAGCCTGTCCAAGGGCGAGAAAGAATTTGCACAAGACATACCCGACCTTAAAGTGACTGTTGAAAGAGTGGCATGACGAGTTCGAGTTGTTGAGATTGTCAAGGCTCGGCGGCAGTCTTGACAAGGCTGCGGATAAAAAGGGGGCAGCAAAGCAAGGGGGAACCAAACGAGATCCGGAATTGGGTCCTCGGGAGGGAGCTTTGAGTCAAGCAATGAAGACATTGCCGTTGAGCGATACACGGAGATCTCCATAACTTTCGAGGTAGTCAATTAGATAGTACCCCAAATACGAGGTACTGTGGGGGCATGGCGGTACCCACGCAGTCTATGGAAGCTGTAGAGAATGTATTGGAGTATCAGAAGCGATGGAATAATTCCCTGTTGGTTGCCGATTGCCGTTTGCCGTCGGGCTGTTCTCCGCAGGCAACGAGGAGGAAGAATGATCTTCACACTTGATCCTTTATCCTTCAACACCACCACCACCACCACCACCACCACCACAACGACATCCACCGTGCCACATCCCGCTCTGTGACCCCCTCGATGCCGTCCCCGCTGTCGATCCATCTCTCTCCGTTATCGTCCCACGTTACTAGCCACCAAATCCCCGTTGTCGACACGTCATTGTGCGAGTCAATGTCACCAACGTCAATCATGTCCCAAATACAGCAGGTCGCAATTCTTCCTCGCTAAATTGCTTCGTAATGCTTGCAATGCTTGCAATGCTTGACCAAAAGCTTCGACCTCGACTCCCACTCCTGGCCCCCATATAGTGGGCTGTCCACCTCTCTCTCGGCTATCGCTGATGATGGTCGTTTCTGCTCAGTCTCCCCAAGTCTTTTCTCTCTGACCCGAGTATCCCTCCAAAATGTCTGTGATGAAGGGAACGAATCGCCTTGTCGGTGGGTGGCTCATTGCCGCCATCACTTCAGTATGCTCCTCGGGCTTTCTCTTGTTCGGATACGATCAGGGCGTCATGTCCGGCGTGGTGATATCCAAGTACTGGCTGGCACAAATGGATCATCCGAGCTCGCTCATGGTCGGCACAATGACGGCGCTATATGACGTGGGCGCCGTGTTTGGCGCCATCGGTGCCGCCTTTACGGGCGAACAGCTGGGCCGCAAGAGAACGCTACTGTTGGGTACTTCGGCGCTGATTGTCGGGACAATCCTCATGGCTAGCAGCTACGAACGGATTCAGTTCATGGTCTCGCGAATCTGCACGGGAATAGGCATTGGGTACATCACCTCCGTCACCCCTGTCTACCAGGCGGAAATCAGTGCTGCAGCTCAACGTGGCTGGCAAGTCTGCTGCCAGCTCTCCACCATGCTCGGCGGGTTGATGATCGCATACTGGATCAATTACGGCTTCTTCTTTGTCCACAGCAGTGCGCAGTGGCGTTTTCCGCTGGCGTTCCAGCTGGTTTTTGCCATCTACATCATGCTGGTCGCACCGTGGTTGCCCGACACCCCGCGCTGGCTCATGCGACACCGCTCTCCAGAGGAAGGGCTCGCGGTGCTTGCGCGACTCAGGGGACGGGACGAAAAGGACCGGGTCGTACAGATGGAAAAGAACGAGATCATGGATGCTATCGCCATCGAGGAGAGGGAGGAGGGCTCCTGGGCAGACCTATTCCGCAGCAATGGCATTTCGGCCAACAAGCGATTCTATCTGGCGTTGGGGATTCAATTCATGCAGCAGATGTCGGGAATTAACATTGTCAGTGCGCTGCGCCCTCGGGAGGGGTTTATAATCTGTTGCATAGCTGACAACACCTTTTCTCTGGCAGGTAACATACTACGCACCGACGCTCTTCTCCACGTCGTTGAACATGACCCAGGAAATGTCCATCCTGATGGGTTGTTTCCTGCAACTGTGGTACATCATCGCCTCGTTCCTCACCTGGTACACCATCGACCGCGTGGGGCGCCGGCTTCTCTTCATCTCCATGGCCCTGGGCATGTGCCTGGTCCTGGTGGCCGAAGCCATCGCGGTCAACCGCATCGAAGCCGCCGACTACCACAGCACCTCCGCCGGCGTGGCTGCCGTGTTCTTTGTCTTTGCCTTTGAAGCGTGCTTCACGTGGGGCTGGATGGCCACCGTCTGGGTCTACCCGCCGGAGATCCTGCCCCTGAAGATCCGAGCCAAAGGCGCCGCCCTGGCCGCGGGCGCAGATTTCCTGGGCAACTTTCTCGTCGTCGAGGTCACACCAGGTGAGTTTGAACAAACAAGAAGAGACTTGTGATTACCCATTCGTTTTACTGACCCCGCCCTTTCCTATTCCAGACGGCGTCAAGAATCTAGGCTGGAAATTCTACATCGTCTGGGCGGTGCTGAACCTGGCCAACGCCATCATCGTCTGGCTCTTCTACCCAGAGACAGGCGGCCAACCACTCGAAGCCATCGACACGCTCTTCGCGGACAAGGAGCAGCGCAGACGAGCGTCGACTTTGCACGATGTCTACGACGACGACGTTGATGACGAAGCCGCCATCGTCGACGCTACTCGCGCGGATCTCAAGAAAAGGGGCCTCCTGAGCAGGTTACAGTGGAGCATCGTGCGCAAAGCCGACAGACAGGTCAAGGCGTACAAGCGCGCCAGTCGGCTTCGGAGGATTTCGGAGACAGAAACAGCGACGGCGGTCTCAGACACCACGACCGCGAGAGGAAGAGGCGAGGACAACGAAGAAGAGGAAGATCGAAATGCACGAGCACGAGCACGAGCACAAGGATGTAAAGTCCACGCGGACCAGCGAGAGGTAGTTGTCCAGAAGTGAAGACATCAAGCAAGACAACAGAGACACACTCCGAGCATACCGTCTTGTACTAAGATATGTTCAAGTACAGCACTTTCGCGAAGATATAGGTTAGGCAGCCGTAGACTCTCCACAGACAAAAGACGGTATAGAAATGGGGGGAACTAGAAGCACATGTCGTTCAACTCAATCCGAATTGAACCCAGCTCCATCACATCTTCCATCTTCCACCTCGTCACGTCGTCATCTCTCTACATGTCTCCGGTTTTCTCTCCGTATTTCATACTATACATTCCACATATCATACCCTATCATCATCTGGTCGAACCAAAACGGGAGGGAGAGGGACAGGAAGGGCCCGTACAAGTTAAGACACATACATACATACATACATACATACATACATACATACATACATACATACATACATACATACATACATACACGCACAGAGCAGAAGGAGGTAGAGATTAGGTGAGAATAGAATGAAATTGATCGACTTGATTATGAGTATCATTGATTATGATTGTTCTCCTAATCAAAACAATACTATACATCTTTGTTCGCTTTTTTGTGCCTTTGGTATAGCCGTCCATATATCGAGTATACCGGAAATGCATATACATACATATACACATGTATAAAATGCTAGCCACCCCATCACCTGCTTGTATACAATTGTAAATGTAGAATCGAGTGGGGTATCGCCGTATCTACCAAATTTCACAAAATGCGCCGCCGTTTGTCCCAAGGAGTTCAAACCTCCATCGTGTCTGTCATGTACAGTTCTTTTAGATCGTATCGTGTCTTCCATCAGATCGGTGGCTGGCCGTTTTCAGCTCGAGCTGGGAAGGTGAAACAGTTGCCAAATGGCGCCGCCAGTCAAGTCGTCGTACGCCTTCAAACCTCAGGCTTTGGGTTGAACTTCCAGTTCCAAAGCCTCCCGGTTCTTACCTACAATGACTTTTGCAGTGTCGCCCGTCTTCAGTTCACCTCTTATGATCCTGTCTGCCAACTTTCGACCAATCTCGTGCTGTATTAGGCGATTGAGTGGACGGGCGCCGTAACGAGGATCATAGCCTTTCTCACACAGCCAATCCTTCACCTCGGGTGAAACGTCAAGGTTCATCCTGCGATCATCAAGGCGCCCTTGAAGTTCGCGGATCCGGATGTCCACAATGTCTCGCAGAGCAGATTTGGATAGCTTGTTGAAGATGATGAACTCGTCGATCCGGTTGAGGAACTCGGGTGGGTAGGAAGCTTGCACAACTTCCATTACTCCCTTCTTTTGTTCGGGCGTCACAGCCTCCACATCGGCGCCGCTACCCATCAGAATCTCTGCACCAAGATTGCTGGTCAAGACAATCAAGGTGTTTCGGAAGTCGACTTTGTGGCCTTGACTGTCTGTGAGGAATCCTTCGTCGAGTACTTGCAGCAACAAACTTGAAATGTCACGGTGGGCCTTTTCAAACTCGTCGAATAGAAGAACTGCATACGGCTTGCGTCGGACGGCCTCTGTTAGCTGGCCTGCATCCTCGTACCCCACGTAGCCTGCGGTGGCGCCAATGAGTCGCGAGACTGTGTGCTTCTCCTGGAATTCCGACATGTCAAATCGAACCACAGCGGTCTCTGTGCTGAAGAGGAAGTTTGCAATCTGTTTGCAGAGTTCTGTTTTCCCTACTCCGGTAGGGCCGAGGAACATGAAGCTCCCGAGCGGACGGTTTTCGCCATTAAGACCTGCTCGTTGCATGCGGACCGCATTGGCCACGGCAGTAAGCGCTTCATCTTGGCCACGAACGTGCTCTCTCAGTTTGTCTTCCATCTTGACAAGCTTTTCAACCTCCCCAGCCATGAGTTTGTTGACTGGAATTCCTGTTGTCCGGCTGACGACGTTGGCGATATCATCGGCAGTTACCGAGTCATGGATGAGGGTCTCTCCGTTCTTCGTCGTCGAGGTAACTTCTTCGCCTTCTTTTGGCAGTTGGGATTCGAGTTTGGGGATGGTCGCATATTGAAGTTCACCAGCGCGAGCAAAGTTGCCAGCGCGTCTGGCTAGCTCCAGTTCCTGTCGAGCCCTTTCCAGTTCTTCCTTAGTTCGCTTGATGGCTTCGATTTCTGCTTTTTCGCGATCCCAAATCTCAGTCAGACGATCTACCTCTTTCTTCTTCTCTGCGAGTGTCTCCTCAAGCTTTTGTCGACGCTCCTTGGAGGCGATGTCGGTCTCCTTACGCAGAGACTCGAGCTCGATTTGAATGGTCATGATCTCGCGATCCAGCTTCTGGATGGCGTCAGGTTTGGACTCTTGTTGTAAGCGCAAAGCGGAGGCTGCTTCATCCACGAGATCGATAGCTTTGTCGGGGAGAAATCTATCAGTGATATACCGATTGCTGTACGTTGCGGCAGCAACTAGAGCACCATCTGTAATGCGTACGCCATGATGGACTTCGTAGCGATCTTTGATACCACGCAAGATGGAGATGGTGTCCTGGACTGAAGGCTCGCCAACTAGGATCGGTTGGAAGCGGCGTGCGAGTGCCACATCCTTCTCGATTTGACGGTATTCATTGAGGGTGGTGGCACCACAGCATTGTAATTCACCGCGTGACAAGGCCGGTTTTAGGAGGTTGCTTGCATCAATTGAGCCCTCAGCCTTTCCCAGACCGAGCAGGGTATGCAATTCGTCGACAAAAAGGATGACTCCTCCATGTGCCTCTTGTACCTCTTTCAAGACCCTCTTCAACCTTTCCTCAAAGTCGCCTCTGAACTTAGCACCAGCTATCAACTGACCAAGGTCCAAAGAAATAACCCTCTTATTTTTGATGCTCTCAGGTACGTCTCCTCTTACTATCCTCTGTGCGAGACCTTCGAGGATTGCGGTCTTCCCGGTTCCGGCTGCGCCGATCAAGACAGGATTGTTTTTTGTCCGCCGTGACAGGATCTGTATCGTTCGGTGAATCTCTCCATCTCTTCCGATGACCGGGTCTAGCTTCCCGTCTTTTGCTCGGGCAGTCAGGTCAACCCCGTATTCTTCTAATGCAGGTTTCTCGGGTTCGCCTCCCATATTCATGCGATGGGTCCCGCCGGGTGGGTGAGGTCGACCATTGGCGTAGGTGCGAACGAAGGTGGTAGCTGGGAGTACGGAGCGAGGAACTACCGCATAGCTGGTATTGGATAATATGGAGGGAGCAGCTCTTCGACGGAGTAAAGGTGACGGCAGTACTCGCGAAGGCACAGCTCGTCGAACGAGCGTCGACCTTGCGGTGTTCATGATTGTCTTTATTGGATATGCAGTTTAGTAGTGTTATCTGTGATCAAGGACAGAAAGAAACATGTTGACCGCACTGCCAAAGAATAGAGTGGTAAATATTTTCCGGCCGAGCATGGCCTTGTCTTTCTGGAAGCCTCGAGCCACATCGAATGATTCCGCACCCAGATACTTCCAAATGGGGAATAGTTCATCAGTTCCAGTCTATTCCATTTACGACCTAGCTTTGACCGCAGATAGCCGATCCACATAGTCTATTATGATTGGCTTGAGCCGACTACATGAGACCTAACGTCCCGAACTGAAAGCACCTCTTTTGAATACCCATCTCTCCACCGAATTGCCAAGGATCATGGCGACTACTTGTATTGACATCGACCCCATTGGCGATCTCGTCATCGAGATTGAGAATGAACGCCTCCGAACATCCTCCAAGGTTCTCTCTCTCGCCTCTCCGGTGTTTGCTGCCATGCTCAGGCCAGGTTTCAGAGAAGGGACGGTCCAAAATACAGAGGATAACCTTCGCGTCGTCCCTCTGCCAGATGATGATCTCGAAGCTTTCAAACTGGTCTGTAGAGTCATCCATTTTCAGCTTGATCAGATCCCACAAGAGCTGGAAATCGACTCCTTGGAGAAGCTGGCCCTGGTCTGTGACAAATACCAATGTACCGTTGCCCTGAGACACTGTGCGGCACTCTGGCTGCAGAGCCTTTCAGACACTTACGTCGCCGCGCAGCTGAATAGACAGCTGCTGGTTGCTTATCTTCTGGACCTGCCCACCGCATTTTCGGATATCTCGTGGAGGTTGATGCAGTCACAAGCCGGGCAATTTGACGTATTACCCGGTCTCACGGACCACCCCACCGTCCCTAGCTCTCTACTGGGTTGGTAGAAGATGTAACGCACTTTACAATCCTGAAATGCTTACGTGCGCAGATGTGCTCAATACCAGAAGAATCGAGATCAACCGCAAGATGGAGAAAATTATCATGCAGCCTGTCTCGCGCCTCTTGAACTGTTCCTGTCGAGCTTCGTCCGAGGGAGTGACAAAGTATCTCACTACCTTGCGAAAGGAAGCGATTGCACCCTACGAAGAAGGCTTCGAGCACCTGAGTCTACTCAAAGTCGTCGATAAAGTCTCGAACCTGCCAAACAGCCTCGCAGGAGAGTCGTCTTGCACCAATGGCTCATATTCCCGCTGCGAACTCGCGGCTTCTCGAGACGGTTCAATGAAGAGAAAGCTTACAAAGGACCTATCAACTTTGATGGATGCTGAGCCTGGTCTCTGTCTTGATTGTGTAAAGACTGGGCGCAGATCTAAGGTGGAGGGAACTTGTAGAGTGCAGCACCGATCAAATCTAGTTGCAACTCATGGGTATCGAAAAGGGGGATCACGATGATAGGTGACGCCGAGAAGGTGAGAAATGACTTGACGACCGATATGAACACGGAAATGAACAACTTGACATGATCTCTCATACTTTGCTCGATCCGTGGTTCAACCTGTACAGTGAAGTAAGTGGTGTTGCATGGTAGGTTGCGTCTTCGAATTCACTTCTCGGGCAGAATCTTTTCATATGAGTCTCAGTCCTCCAGCATCTCGTCCATCATCTCTGACAGCTACTAAAGCCTCCACTCACTCACCACACCTCTCCCATCTTCTTCGTCTTCATCCGTTCTTCTGTTTTCATCTCCCCACACGACGCCCACAATGTTAGGACCGACTGTGACCCCGACCATGTCGGGCTTCTACCCAGTGGGCAACACACCTCCTGTTGATGTGTTGGAAGCTATACCGCCGGGCCAGGACGCCGCGGTGTTGCCACTCGGCTGCGGTGATGCTCGAAACCTGCTCTTCTCGCTACACTCCCGGCCCTCATCAGGTTTGTACTCTACAGTGGCCAGCTTTGTTGGGCAAAAGACAACGCGCACATTGTCCGTGGATGGTTCATACTAACCGAGTCAGATCACAGTCACTTTGACATTACGTGCTGTGATGTCGATGCCGAAATCATTGGTCTGGTGAGTCTCCCGTGTGAGAGACCAAGCTAATGACATTGCAGCTCGAAATATTCTCCTTTACACGCTCCTCATCGACGATGTGGACGGCACCGACACTAGTCGAATCTGGAACATCTACTATCACTGGAAGTTGGATCAAGACTCGCTGCATCTGTTGCAAAAGCAAGCGCGGAAGTTGGTGGACATGGGCACAACGATCGAGAATTGGCGCCAACAAACATACGGCCAGGGGCTTCGTTTCTGCGATCAAAGAAGCTTTGATCGCGTGGTCAAGTTGTGGAGATGGTATGCCCTCGATGACACGGACGGACCTGCTTTCGAGGAACAGCAAAAGCGGTTGAAGCACACCGCCTGGAAAGCCGTAAACTCTCATCAACGGCTTATGGGAGGAGGTTTCAATATCTCGACTCTTCGTTCGGCGGCCCCATGCTCAGAATTGGTCTTGGACGATATGGTATCGCTTCTGCACGACTACTGGGTGACGGGGGTGGCTTGCGGCGACGCCAAACTCACGGGCGAATCCAAATGCCTGAACCCAACATTTTCCACTATGCATGGGATTTCCTTGGTCTATGCATCGATGGAACCCCTACAATCCTTCCACTTGGCGGCTGCGTACGCTCCACTCAAGAGAGATTCTCCCCTCGATCCCAAGTCAATGGCATCAATCGATATCAAGCCTCCAGCCCAAGCTGCAGCAACACAATTTCAAGCATGGGCCGAAACCTTTCGACGAGTCAAAGATCACCTGAAGATCCGATTCACAGCTTCTGATGCTGGGGCTTTCCGCCACGTGTTGCAACACCATGCCGCCCATAAGAACAGTGAGGGCGCCTTTCAATATCGAGATAGGCTGCAGTACGAACAACTTGTCCTTGACCCCGTGGAATACGATTCGAGCTCATCTGGTCAGCACAAGTTCGACGCGATTGAAACATCCAATCTTGTCGATCATTGGGGTTCCTTGAACATCCTAGCAGCCTGCAGACCTCTGCTCAAACCCGGAATAACCTCCACCATCTACATGGAACTTTTGCAACTGCGCGACCACAGTCTCGAAGATTATACTCAAGGGCTATTGTGTGGCGAGATCGTTACTGTATCGGTACTCTTCGGCCTCAGCCCCATCCAGTACTGGACGAATACAACAGGTCTTTCGCACTACCCGGAGTCTATGGCGAGGTCAACCGAAGCCGGTGAAGGCGGTCAAGCTCGCTTCGTCATTGCGTGGAAGAACGTCAATGTCGCGGGGGTCAGATTTGATTCCGACCACCTTGCTCGTTTTGTGTTTAAAATGTGTTTGCGCATGTTTGAACATGAGTCCTCAGGAACTCAAACATCAAACACCGCAGCCAACAGATTAGCACTCATTCAGTTCCCACAGTACACACGCTCTGTTCTGGCCATGGTTCTGGGTTTGATAAAAGGCGCCAACTTTGTCGATTTCCCGGTCTTTGTGGAACGTCTTCGTGTCTTGTTGCACAACGACTCGACCCATAACGCGATGAATTTACAGTATACAGAGTCATTGGATCTCTACCTGCAGGAGCTTCGGGTGTACACTACAACCACGGACAGCGACAACAATGAGAATGCCGAAACCATGACACTGAGTCCCTTCCGGAGCGGGCTCGAAAATTCATCAACCGCCTGCCTCACCGTTGCTGTTCCGCATTCGAGCTGGGCGCCATTCATATTTACCGGCAAGCCAAATGCATGGCCACTCTTCGAACTTTCTGTGCGGCTTCCCCATACCGGTCGCGAATCTCGTTTTGCGGATGTGCAGATCGGGTTCGGCGTTGTCCGAACGTCAGGAACTAAAGGCACATCGAGTTATGCGGTGGATATAGAGACGGACGAGCAGGGGGCCGAAGGACGCTGCCCATTCATTGTTTCGGCGCTTGTACCTTCATGCATGTTGGTCAATCTCAACTCCTCGACGGTCGCCGTTCAGTTCATTGCCAAGGTCCACGGAGACTCTCAGGCTATAGCGGCCATGGAAAGCATCCTCACTGGTCGCCCTGTCAGGTCCATCGAGGCCTATCGGGCTACTTTGAGTGACGAGAGTGTTTTCATCACAGAAAACCCCCCAAATATGAGAGGACGAATGGCATGTCCGTCTCTTCCTGGCGAGCCCATGTGGCCACAGGCGGCAGAGACCGGCACCGGAAACGTGACGCTCCGCATGATGTTTGACGGGGAGGCAACAAGGGTGAAAAAAATCAATCTGCATATCGACCTGTCCTCCACAGATGCAGAGGCTCTGCTTCAGTCAAATGGCGATGTCGAGTTCAAGCAGTTGTCTGCTTTCAACCTCGAGCTCAACATCAGTTCAGGCTCACTGGCGTATCGTCAGCAGATTCGACTACCAGTTGCGTTGACCACGTCCGGTTCCAGGACGAGGATTGCTCGAAAATCCGTATATGTCGAATTCATTGCACGGGTCGCAGCTCCAGATGCTCTGTCGAGTCATCCTGGAACTCTCTATCCAATGACTCTTGTTTGCGGCAAACCAATCCTCGAGAACCTGGGGTATCTACATTTGGAGCATCTTCCCATCGTGGGTATCTCAGATGCTGCCAGACTCACCTGGATGGAGCACTATTTATCGTCAATGCTTTCAATGAAGGAAAAGGAGATGGTGCGCAGACAAGCCGGACCAAATGGCCTGTCTAATAACTTGCGTCTCAAGTTCAAGCAGATGCTTCTACAAATATTCAGCCGTTACCCTGGGCTGGGTGGCAAGAAACCCCTGAATACGTTTAACGTGCTGTGCCAGGGAGGAAAAGTCCCGCTCATGACGGTTGTGATTTCGTCGCTGCGGCTGGATCCGGCAAATCTCAGCATTGTTCTGGACGCTGCAATGCTGCCTTCAACAGCAGAGCTTGGAACTCGCAAGGCACAAAAGATTCTTGCTCAGATCCAGAAGGCCGGCACTACATACGAAGTTGATAGTACGACCTGCATACTTTGGGAGAATGCCGCAGCGGCTTTTGTAGAGCGCTGTCGTGATTGGGAGCACACTGCGACGTGTGAATACGCAGCACAGGGTACCTCTACCGTGCCTACTCCGAAGGTCGACGGGAATATAGTCTGCTCGTGCGGGCTGGGGAAGTTTCCACAGGGTTACAAGCCAGACGTGCCTGGATGGACACATCTGGCAAAGCACTGTGTTCGCATGGCCATTTCTCCCAATTTCTCTGTACCTATGGTTGAGAAGGTCATCGAAGAGATTCATCCATGGAGCACGGCCTAGGACAGAGGAGCCGATTCCAACCCAGGAGTGGAGGGCTGCTGGGGATGTGACAGATCCGTCTCAGAACACCAGAAAGTGCAGAAGTGCGGCGCGCGCAAGGTGGCTCAGTATTGTTCGAAAGCGTGCCAAATTTAGGACTGGAAATGGCAACACCAAGGTACTTTGCGAGAAGATCAGGATGAGTCATTGCTGGGGCTGGTTGCTCACCTCGAGGTGAAGGAGAGGACGGCGTGAAAAGGGAGACAGCAGGCACACCACGCCGGCTCAGAGGATTGGATCGGATCAGAAGCTGGTGGCATTCTCGAAGGCCAGGATATGAAGCGACAATGGCGTGACAGGTCCTTCGGGAAGTAAGCTCACTGATGGTCGTTGTGAGGGCGCAGCCTCAACTCGTGTCAGACATTGTCATTTGATTTGCTGTGCCTCTGGCTAAGTCATGGATTGGTTAATGGTAATATGTACTCCGTACTAGGTGTTGCTGTTTCCTAAAAGCAGCGAGGCTGGCATTATCCGTTCTTGGCATGGCGGACTCATGGATTTTTTTGAATTTGGGCATCGATCAAAGATTCATTTTTGACTGCGCCCTCCCATACCACTCCAACACCACCACACTAGACCCTTAGACCACTCTCAAATCATCTGAAAGCATCCAAATCATCAGTCAAGATGGGTTTCACCGACTTCGTCTCCGACGGTGGCCTCACACGTACGTCTTGTTCCTTGGGCCCCCTTTGAACCCCTCTCCAAAGTATGCCACTGACTCAATGACAGTCCTGAACAACTGGCTCAAGACCCGTTCATACATTTCTGGGTACGTGATTTCTCCCTTCAGCCTCGACCCCTGATTTTTGCTTTCCAAGATGAGAAACAATTGGTCCGTGTTGATGAGGCGGCTTAAGACACCGCAAAATGACTACTTCCAATCGCATGCATTTGCACCTCTGAGTTTTGTAGAAACAAACACAACTTTGTCCAAGAAGATATCAATCTCGACCTGGTCGCTAACTCTGTCTCTGCAGCTTCCAGCCATCCCAAGCTGATGTCGTGAGCTTCAAGGCTCTTAAAGAGGCACCTCCCGTCGAACGCTACCCTCATGCCTACCGCTGGTACAACCACGTCAAGTCCTACGAGGCTGACTTCTCTACGCTGCCTGGCGACCCATCCAAACCCTTCACCACCTACGGCCCCGAGGCTGTTGCTGTAACCCAAAACCCCAAGGACGCCCCCGAAAAGGCCGAGGATGACGACGACGAAGTTGACCTCTTCGGCTCTGACGAGGAAGAAGAAGATCCAGAGGTCGTGGCTGAACGCGAGAAGAGACTGGCAGAGTACAAGAAGAAGAAGGAGGGCAAGACCAAGCCCGCCGCAAAGTCAATCGTCACGCTAGATGTGAAACCTTGGGATGACGAGACGGACATGGACGAGCTTGTGAAAAATGTGTTGGCTATCGAGCAGGATGGTCTTGTTTGGGGTGGTCATAAACTGGTCGCTGTTGGCTTCGGTATCAAGAAGCTGCAGGTCAACTTGGTTATCGAGGACGAGAAGGTCTCTCTGGACGAACTGCAGCAGAAGATCGAAGAGGATGAAGATCATGTTCAGTCTACCGATGTCGTGGCTATGCAGAAGCTGTAAGAAGGAAACATTCAAGGGCATGGGGATGCACCTCTTCCGGCCAGCGACACAGACCAGGTCAAGAGATTTCGAGACTGCCCAAAGGGAATTCTAGCCTTGGCTTGCCTGGTGTTGAGGTAGAGTTCAAGGTCTGATTCCTGCCTGGCACGGATTTGTTGGACTTGTCTTTAGAGCGATGGCATTTTACCCTCGACGTAACCTGATGATAGACGAAAAACGCACGAAGATGAGTGACGAGCCTTCTCGACCCACACACGGCACAGGCTTTACTTGTCTGGTACTCGGTACTCGCAGACCCTTCGGTAGACAGCCCTGCAAAACATGTTATCACAGATCCGAGACATTTGCGGCCTCATGATTTGCTGGTGGGTGCTAGATCCGGAATCGCCCAGTCAGCCACGCACCTCATTTTTCTCCATAGCCAGCTCGCCAGGAGGGCGGCACACGTACATATGATCATGATTCTGCTGCTGCGGGTATAATTATAGCAGCATTGGCTGGCTGGCTTTTTCTTTCTCGTCTGTGGGTTGTGCTTGTCTGCCTTGACCCATTCACCCCTTCTCTACCCCACGAGACCGCAGGAAGGGCAGAGTTGGGCGTTTTCCGTACAATGTTGATCGCTCTGGCCGTGTGACACGAGCCAACTGGTCCCAGACTGCGCATCTTTCCCCTCTCTTCGCATCACCACTCCAAGATACAATCCCCAAGTCTGACCACGAGTGTCGCCACAGCCTCGAGCCTTTTCCAGTCGGCTCAACAGTAAGCTGAGAAAGCGGTAAGCCGCGCAGTCGACCGCGTTCGTCTGGCATAGAGAGGCAGCGAAACACTAAAGAAATAGAAAGAGAAGGATATACTACGAGGCTGGTCTCCTTCTCGTCCTTTTTAGAGAGCAAAGCTGTGGAAATCCTCAATCATGGCGGCCAAAAAGTTGGTCATCAACCCACCACTCCTGAATTCCGCCTGTCCTTGGGCCACGACTCTCGAAGATATCAAAGCCCTCTATGACACCCCCTACACAGGCGCCGTGACAATTCGAACCTCCTTGCTCGAAGGCTTTACTCACGACGACTCCGTTCATCAATACATCTTCTTCACGCCCGGCAAGACCATCCCCGGCGACGCTCCGAAAGGCGAGGCTTCGAAACCCTTGTCATCCGACTCGTCACAACCCGTATCAACCCTCAACACGCTGGGTTACTCCCCGCTCACTCTCTCCGAGTACCTTGGCATTATCAATGAAATTGTTGGCCAGCGCCATTTGGGTACGGACACGCCGACCAAGAAACCGTTCATCTTGTCCGTGACAGGAACCCCAGATGAGATCGCCATGGCGTATGCTCTCATCGCCAACGCTGCGGAAATGGACGAAGATCTGCGTCTAGCTATGGAGGTCAACCTCTCGTGCCCCAATATCGCGTCTGCCCCGCCACCAGCATACGACAAGAAACAATTGGATGAGTACCTCGAGGCAATAAGCGATTCGAAATCCACCTATCGCGGACGAATGGCCACGCCTGATTCAGTGCCGAAAGTCGGGATCAAACTTCCACCGTACACATATACCGGTCAATTCGAAATGGCCGTGGACTCTCTACGCAATGCGAAGTCTTCCGAGCCTGGAGAAGGTTCAGTGATCGACTTCATCGCATGTACAAATACCCTGGGCAACAGCCTTCTCCTCAACTCGAACCTCGACCCAGCACTCAGCAACGAGGCGGGCAGCGGACTGGGAGGTTTGGCAGGAGCAGCACTTCATCCCCTAGCATTGGGGAACGTTGCCACGTTTCGAAAACTACTTGACCAGGATCTTTCCACCAAGGGCATCATGATCATCGGCGTCGGAGGCGTGGAAGACAAGGACGGCGCGGAGAGGATGAGGAAGGTCGGTGCAGAGGCGGTCGCCTGCGCATCGGCGTTGGGACGATATGGTGTTGGTGTCTTTGAGCGCATCACCAAAGGCGCATGAGGTCCCACACCACCGACGTCGTATGTTTTTGCTGGGAAGGAGAGGGGCGTCTTACGTGAGCCAGTCACGATAGATTGCATGCCTTGCGCCGTGCAGACCTGTGGCCATGGAGCAGGAGTGACAAGTGCAATATGAACCAGGGTTTGGAGGCACTTCACATTATTACGCAACGCTCCTCCAGAGGGCTTTGGTTCGGGCAGTCATTGTTACCTGGCCACGTAGATAGTTTGTGCTGAGGTTTTGTCTGTTTGGGAATAAGTCCTCAGCGACATTCTCGACGAGGTGGAATTGTATCATTCGCAACTCGCACTCACACTCACGATACTTGCACAGAGACACACGAATTGACGATTCAGACGACCAGAAGAAAATATCAACATAGAAAAACTTTTTTGTATTCATACTACGCTCGATAAGCACTCTGGTTTCAACACAGACACACACGATCTGGGCCCTTTTGTTCACCTCGTTCGCGTGCTCTTTCTTCGGACAACCCGCTCGCTCAGACCTCTTGACTGATGTTTTTTCGTACTCTTCTGATACTCGGACATGCTGGATATTTTCTTAATCGATGTTCAGGTCCAGCCTCAGACTCCAGACTCAGTCTCTCTTCTCGATCCCATCGCCCCAAAGGGTTGTTTTGCATTCTGCCGTCATCGCTCTCTGCCTTCCCCAAATCCCACTGGTCGCCGTCTGTCTGCGTCTCCAGCTACCAAATGCAGCTCCAATTCAATCGATACAAGATAGCAGTTGCTGTCTGCAATATCTGCCGCTTTGTTGTTGATGTTGCGGATCTCATAGACCTGTCCATTCTGTAATAAAGACCTGTCCCATCTAGTTGGTGTTGATCTGTTCCTCTTGAGGGTAATTACGTGATAATTATGCATTAATTACAATGCATATGGATTCATGGATCGGATAGTCAAGCATCTAGGCAAAAGGTCAGTAGCCGTAGGGCGCAGCTAAGGGTTTCCACATCACTTACGGTGGACTCTTGGTCAGGTCAGTCTTCAAAATGACAGGCACTCGAGTCATTTCAGTCACATCTTGAATGTATTCACCTCCCTCCTCCCGAAGCTTGAAGTAGCTGAGATACTTCTCCTTGTCGGTCAAGTTGTGCTCTGGGATATCACCAGCTGGTCTTGCGATCTTCGACTCGGATTGTGTTCGGGCTGGTGCTTGGCTCAATCCACCGTTACGGGCAGGGGATGGGGGCATGCTCTGAGTCGATCGGTCAAGTGGCGAGTTCAGAGATACACCAGCAGCCATTTCGGTGATTTCCGATGCGCTGTCGTCGTCAAAGAGCGCATCAACATCATCGGTTGACATGGTGTTGCTGTCCGTCTGCTTGCGTTGGGATTCGTATCGTTCCTTGGCCCGTTCTCGTGCAGACTCGGTTGCACCGTTCGTACCTCTAGTGCTCACCGAGGCACGGGGTCTTTCATCTTCAGGAACGTAGGCAGATGACGGAACCCCTTTCTCCCAGTAAAGTTCGAGCACTCGCTCGTCTTTGCGGAACTCTGCCTTTTTCAAAGGAAGCTGATCGCAATGCACACGTTTCTCGAATCCATACTCTGGGATAAGGACATCGAATGCAGACTCGTAGACACAAATGACGATGCCCTCGCTGATAAGGTCGCCTCCCATTTCTTTGCTCTTCTTATCCATGAGTCGGCAGGACTCAATGTGGACACTCTGTTCTTGCGCGCAATGAGCAGAGTCTTTCTTGTTGTTACATTGCTCGGCTGTTTTGGCCAGGCTCTCCATGTCTTCGTTAAATTCGACAGCACCATTGGAAAGAGCTGCCTCCAGCTGCCGGTGGACGACAATGTCAGCATATCGGCGCGAAGGGTTGGTGAAGTGGGTGTAAAGAGGCAGATTGAGTGCATAGTGTTGACGCTGCTCCTCCGCAACCTGTTCGCCAATGTAGTATTTGGCACGCTGCAAAGTCTTGACCAACAGAGTTTCCATGCCCTTTCGCAAGTCCGAATCTCCCACTTTGAAGAGACTGTTCTGCAAGCTTCCACTGCTAGAGCTATCAATGTCATAGCCGGCTCGGGTCATTCGATCGACGAACGTCAAAAGTCGTCGCGGGTTGGGAGGTGATTGTCTTCTCAAGAACGCCTTGTCGGGCATGGCAGCGAAGATCTTCTGCGCAACAAAGAAGTTGGCTTTACAGCTGAGCTCTTCCATGATCTCGTGTGCGGTAGATGTGTTGAAGATGTTCTGCTCCACTGGAATATTCTCATCGTCGAGCTGATAAAGCAGTCGAAGAGGGGCGATAGTCGCAGAACGGTTGCCAAAACGAGCTTCTCGGAATTTGCTGGCGATCTTGTGCAAAGTCTTGATGTCCTCGGCTGTGGGCCCGTTCAATTCAGGTTGCTCGCCTCCCTTGACGACAGCGTCGATTGCTCGGTATCCGAGCTTGCCAGAGCTTTGGATAATGGATTTGCCAATGAAAGGCTCTCCTTCGATCTGCCCTGTCTCAGAATTGACTTTGAAGATCACACTCACGGTCAGACGGCCCTCGCCTGGAAGCAATGAGCATATGTCTGCAGACAGTTTCGATGGGAGCATGTTAACGGCCCTGGTCATCAAGTAAACGCCAGTCCCTCGTTTCTTAGCCTCTCGGTCGACTAGTGAGTTTGCTTTGACAAAATGGGCAATATCCGTGACATGGATGCCGAGCTCGACCAATCCATTGTCGAGTTGCTTGATGTGGATGGCATCGTCAAGCTCTTTAGTGCCGTTAGGGTCAATGGTGAAAGTTCGCTCGTTGCGAAGGTCGAGGCGTGCAGCTAGACTCTCCTCGCTCTCAGTCTGCAACGACCAGTCATCCCACCCAACACTCTTCAAGACAGCATCGGAAAACTCGTCAGATCCAAAGTTGTTGTCACGAAGCAAGGCGTCTGTCTCGACGCGGAGATCACCCATTTCACCCAACTGCTCAACCAGAGTACCGAATGGATGCAAGGAGGTGATCGGCCAGCGCTTGATACACGCCACGAAGATTCTGTTGGCGTAGTCCATGTGCTTATCCACAAAGTCTCGCGGGGCCTGTTCTGTTGGGATGGCAATCAAGGGCACGCGTTTGTCAGTAGGCTTGAACCACACGATCTTCGGCTTGTCTTGGGCACGAGATTCCGATCGTGAATGGCCTCCATCCCGCGCCTGGCGCTCAGCTTCTTGCTTCTCCTTCGTGGCCTGGCTACTCGGTCGGAGTAGACCAAGTGTACCGGAGAACATCTGCCCAGCGACGCGCTCAATAACGGCGACGACGTGACCTGCGTAGAGAGGCTTCTGTTCGTCGCTGATCTCTTCTTCTTCCATCAACAGCAGGCTCTGACCTTCGACCTCGACATCATCGTTCTTCTTTTGCGTTGGACGCTGACGCAAGCTGCCGCGTCGTCGGATACTACCATCTGGGGCAATCGAAGTGTTGTCAGTGGTCGAAGTGGTATCACTCTTGCCGTTTTGGGCATTCCCCGACGAGCGAGTGTCGGTAATGTCCTTGCGTTTCTTCTTCTCTTCCTTCTCACGCTTCTGACCCCAGACCTCGTCGACATCGAGCAGTTCGACCGCAACCAGGTCCCCCTCAAGAGCACGATTTCGGTCTTTGCTACCACAAATGAAGATGTCTGCGTCGAGATCGTTGGTAGTGACATAGGCGTCAGATCGATTCTTCTTGTTCACTCGCAGGATGCCCGCAACCAGCTGGCCATCATTGAGCAACGCAGGAAGTGTGGCTTGAGGAAGATAGGGGGTAAACAGGGTCTTTCGCTGTTGCTGCTGCTGTTGCAAGCCCATTGGGGGAGCGTGCTGACTGGCCTGCAGACCACCAAGCTGAGCACCTTGCATTGCCTGAAGCTGCGCGATCTGCAAAGCGTTCAGTTGCTGACCAGCAAACATCTGAGGTGCCATCATCATTTGGCCTTGGGGAAGTTGCAACAACTGGGGCTGGCCCGGGTATTGGAATCCACTCATCGAGCCGATGGACTGGTTCATTGATCCTCGACCGCGATGTCCAGGCTGGAAGTTTCCACTGCCCATACCCTGCGGTTGGCTGAATTGACCCATCTGTTGAGGCGACTGATCAGTTGTCTGCTGATTATTCTGTTGACGCCAATTGCCCTCGAAGTTGCGAGACCCCTGTCTTGTGTGGTTGCTTTGGCTGCCACGACGCTGTAGATCTGACTGATTACCTGTGCCAGCATCACCCTGTGCTGGGAATTGAAAAGATCCGCCTCCACGGCCAGCCCCGCCTCCACCCCGAACACTTCCTGCTGCCATACTCTGGCTTCGACTATGACCAACCATACGGGCATTGCCGGCACGCTGCAGACCCAGCCCCGAAGGGGTGACGGGTGTGTTCAATCTGTCATCGACAGGGGTGGCGGCCACAGGACTTTCCGCGATACCACCAGCTCCTGGAATGGGGAACTGAAAGCCAGCAGAAGTCCGCTTCTTCTCTGCGAGTTCAGCAGCCTTCTTTGCCTCGGGAAGAGCTAATGAATGACGTCGAGTATGTCCACTTTGTGCAGAGCCACCTCTTCCTCCGCGGCCACTGGTGTTCTCACGATTCTGACCCATTGCCTGCTGGTTGAAGTCGCCAAAGGCTGAACCAGCAGTGCCAGTGGACGGTGCTGGGGGAGGGCCCATAGCCATGCCTGGAAGCGCGGATTGATTTCTGCGGTGAGCCCCGGGTTGTGCAGGGGCATTTCCCTGCATGGCCATCTGCTGCTGGATCTGAGGGAATTGAAAATTGGTGTTATTGGGCGAGATTCCCGAAAGATTGGGTTGCCCTTGAATGGGAGAGTACGCAGGCATGCTTTGCAGCGGTTGCTGAATCATGCCCATGTTGACATACTGCTGATGAGTAGCAGCGATTTGCTGCTGTTGCTGTTGGAGTAATTCGATTTGTTGCTGAAGAGCCAGTTGTTCCATCATGAGCGGAGTGAGCTCCGATGGACTGCGTCGATGGGCGATATGAAGTCTGCGCC